AGAATGGCAATCAGCTATGAAACTCTAGATAGAGTCTATGCACTCTAACTCAGTCTGGCAACTTGCAGATCTACCCGAAGGGGTAAAACCCATTGGATGCAAGTGGATCTTCAAGAGAAAGTGAGGAGCGGATAGAAAAGTAGAGACTTATAAAGTAAGGCTAGTGGCTAAGGGAAGGAGGGAGTTAACTATGAGGAAACTTTCTCGCCAATAGCTATGCTTAAGTCCATCCGGATACTCATGGTCATTGCAGCATATTTTGACTATGAGATATGGCAGATGGATGTCAAGACAGCTTTTTTGAATTGCTATCTTGAGGAAACCATCTATATGGAACAACCAGAGGGTTACATAGAGAAAGGCCAAAAGCAGAAAGTCTGCAAACTGCAGAGGTCCATTTATGGACTGAAGCAGGCTTCTAGATCATAGAACATCAGGTTTGATGAGGCTATAAAGTCTTATGGATTTAATGAAAACATTGATGAACCATGCGTCTACAAGTACAAGAAAGAAGAGAAAATGGTCTTCTTAATTCTTTATGTCGATGACATCTTACTCATTGGGAATGATGTGAGATTGATGACAGATGTAAAGGAGTGGTTAGCCAACCAATTCCAAATGAAAGATTTGGGAGAGGCAAGCTATGTTCTTGGGATTAAGATTATTCGAGATCGCAAGAAAAAGCTTTTTACGTTATCACAGACATCTTATATAGACAAAATGTTGTCTAGGTATTCGATGCAGAACTCCAAGAAAGGGAATTTGCCTTCTAGGCATGGTATTCATCTTTCTAAGGAGCAATGTCCAAAGACTCCACAACAAGAATAAAATATGATACGGTATCCCTATGCTTCGGTCGTGGGAAGCCTTATGTATGCCATGTTATGTACAAGACCAGATATATGCTATGCAGTGGGAGTGGTCAATCGCTACCAGTCCAACCCAGGATTAGATCATTGTGTTGCAGTAAAGTGTATTCTCAAGTATCTTAGGAGAACGAGAAACTATATGTTAGTATATTCTGGAAAAGATCTGTCTCTCACCGGATACATGGATTCTAATTTCCAATCGGATAGAGATAGTCGACGGTCGACATCTGGATTTGTGTTCACTCTTAATGGAAGAGCCGTGGTATGGAGAAGTATAAAGCAAAAGTATGTTGCTGCTGAATATGTTGCAGCTTGTGAAGCCGCAAAAGAAGCTACATGGTTCAGGAAGTTCTTAACTGATCTGGAAGTTGTTCCATATATGGATAAGCCAATTAAGCTATACTGTGACAACAGTGGAGTGGTGGCTAATTCAAAGGAACCTAGAAGCCATAAGAGTGTGAAACATATAGAAAGGAAATATCACATGATCAGAGACATTGTGGATAGAGGCGATGTAGCCGTTCTGAAGATCGCGTCAGAGAACAACCTTACTGACCCATTCACCAAGACATTGCCATTGAATGTATTTGATCGGCACTTAGATGGATTTGGGATTAGATACATGACACACTTGCTTTAGGACAAGTGGGAGATTGTTAGGAATAGTGTCCTAGAAGCATAAGATGTAATAGGATATTTATTATTTAATTAATAAAAGAGTTTATTCATCATTTTATGTGCATATATTTATGAATATTTTATTAATAGCAAATAAAAATTTTGTGATTATTTATGTCACCTTAAACATAGTATATAAGTGTTATATACGAGAGGATAGTGTTTAAGGATAATAATAAAAAATATTGTTCATAATGAATTTAATTAAAGTTCAGAGTCTTTAATTAAAACATTATTAATACAT